GAAGATATAGTAGGGGAAAAAAAGAACGGCAAAAGGACTCACTTTTTTGCCGTTTTATTGCGTGGGGCCCCTTCTTTTTATACCTGTCCCCCTAAGTTACTGAACCCCCTTTCACATCTCTATTCCCCAAAAATAAATGTCGCCCCTTTTTAAATCTGTCCTGAAGCAAAAATTTCTCCTAAAAAGTGAACTTCGTATATGGAATTCTTTCCTCCAAAACTCATGAAATTTGTGCTAAAGAGATATTATTTAGTCTTGACAGCATTTGGAGAGAAGATTTGATTGCGAAAATGCAGTTTCACGCGCAATAACTGTAAAAAGGCTGTTGTGTTTTATACTTTTCTTATAAATGACACATACATGTAAAAAATACAAATGCCATGTGTTTCCTTTATTTTCAGAATACTTGATAAAAATGTAATTAAACAATCAGATAGTGGATGTCCAGCTATAAATAGGGGTATTTGCATTTGTTTTCACTTTTAAGTTTCCAATCACTCCACTCCGAAATTGTTTGCTCAACAGCACATGTACATTGTAACAGTTACATAATTCGACAGAGGTTAATTAGTCTTGAAATCCATAAATGTGGCCATTTATTGCCCGCAAAGCCTATTTTAGCATGACTAACAGTACCTGCAGGCTGTTGTTTTGGTGATGGTAGGGTTCAGCCAGGAAACTGATGGAAAGAGGTGTCATTCTGTTCAAAGGAATAAATATAAATGGAATTTAAGCGACAGACAAATATACCCTTACTGGTATCTTTCAAACACTCATAATATGTAACTCCACTATATTACAAGCTATAAAGGTAATTTATACACCAATGAACTTCTACTGAGCTGCTCTTTACAACCATACCAGACTTGTGGTTATTGCTGGGAAAAAAAATCCATCGCCTCCCTACTGCAAGTTGAAAGTGTGGTGTTCATTACCTTTAGCACCCTGTACCTATGATAAAGGAACAAATCCTACTTTTTCAGAACAACTTAGGTACCTCAATAAGTTGTTGATGAAGCCCTCTTTCATATCAGAAAGAAAAGAGAACATGGCTCTTGGTTTTGAGGGAAATTTGGTGTAAAAATGGTAGCGTACTGGGTACATGACCACCCTGAATGCACCGAAGTACTGTGAACAACGACAAATTAGCAAATGTAGTCTGGTTCCTTGACCTAGATGAGATTCGTTTTGATGGATCTAAAATGCCTGAGTCGGGTAACGAGACAAAAAACAAAATGGGATGATTTGACAGAGCAGAACTTGTCTTTTGCCAAACTGGTGTTAGAAATTTGTGGTTTTCATGTTGAATATTGTCAAAATTTAGCTAAACTAGGTTTATCAGGATTGAGTAATGGTTCCTTAAGCTTAAAATGCTAGTTTGAGAAAGTGAACTTTGTTTCTTTATTATAGAAACAGGGTGCTAAAGGTAATGAACATCGTAAGTGTAAATTATAATTTTTATGTAGGGCTTAGGTACCCCAGATACCCCAGAACTGTAGCCTGTGAGGTTCGATGTCCGCCTGCTCCCACGAACCCCACAGAAAACAAGCCTTTTTCCCCATGGTGTTTAACAGGGCATGAACAGGCATTTTGAGATGTGTATCCATAGAAATGTTACTCCATAAAGGCATTCAAGCCCTATAAATCGCTAATAATGCATGGCTGATTTTGCACAACTGTGATGATGCCTTTATACTGTTGTGCAAAATCACTCTTGCAGTGTTGGCGATAACGCTCATTCCCTCAAGAGTTAGATTACATACATGTACATGCACCGTACCTTCATACTTTGTATCCAAAAAAAACCAGGCCAAACCATCGCCGTTTTTAAAAAGGTGCAACTATTTCCTAATCAGTGTCCAAGAGTCATATTGTTCGTATGTGTACATGTACCGGTACATGTACATGTAATTGTGAAGACAAGCCGTGATCAAATGGTGGGCTATAGCTGCAATCGATACACAAGATGTTGAAATTGGCTGCCACTACTCTCCGTATATCTGTGTGTAATTTTCTTAGCGGCGACTGGACTGACAGGTTGAAATGGCAGTTGGCTGCCCGTGCTGGGGGTCACAGTGAACAATCACAGGGCTCCTTGTTATTTATGCCCAAATGGCATGAACGACAGACAGCCGTTGAGTCTGCGAGTGCGTGAGTGTGCATTGCACTGAAGATCGCCACGAGCCACGTGTGAGATGGCACTTGCTCCACAGACATTTTTTACTCTGCAGTGATGACAGCTAAAAATACATGTAGGTCACTGTAGGGAATAATTACCAGCTTCTGTATCTGGAACTCTTCCCCACTAATTTTCCAATAAAATGTTACAACAGCCGACAGTGAAATTTAGCTTAACAAATTCTGAAGCATTTACAAGTTTACAAACCACTTGGGCCCTTAGGCCTAGGTTTTTGCTGACAAGTCTCATAGGCTTGTGCACAGGAGCATGAAGTGTTGCCTGTACATGTATATGGAACTTTTTCCCGTGGTTTTTATTAATTATAATTGAAATTACCCCCCCACCGGTATATGTGTTGAAACAACATCCAGAATATAAAATTTGTTGTTTGATTAACAAATGGGAGCAAAAAACCAGAACATTTTGGTGAAAGGCCCCGCCCCCAAGAGGTATCTCA